GGGAGGCCTAAAACTGGGCAATCTTCCACAAGTGGCCTCAGGTGCCCTGCAGAGAGAAACAATGGCTTCCAGCGCCCCCTGGCCATGCGCTGCCTGCAGCAAGGCCACGCTGCCGGCTCACGGTGGGGTGCTGTCTGCCACGATGCCCTGGTCCCCTCTCTGAGGAGCTGCTCCCTGTCCGCTTCTTCCCTAACCTGGCCCAGTGCATGAGGTGGTTCTAAACGTGTGTGGCTGTTGAACCCGACGGAGTGCCTGCTGGCCCCTCGCCCGCTTTGCCCAGAGCCCTCGTCGCAGCAGCTCTGCTCTCCCACCTGCCGATGGCTCCTTCCAGTTTGGTGTCACTTGCAAACTCGGATCGGGGTGTGCGCTTCCTGGCTGCACGCAGAATTCACCACGCAGCAACGCAAGAAGGAGTAGTCAGTATTTTAAGTCTGCCGCAAACTGTGTTAGCCTAAATTGGGTGTCATACAGTTGTTCCCTTTGTGACTGAGGTTCATGGACTTCCAGACCATTACGCTGCAAAGCTAGGTTTTGTTTGCAGAAGCGGCAGCTACCTGTAGATAAACTCTAGTCCTGATAGAGGGTGAAAACACGAAGCAGAGGGATTATTATTCTCAGGCATGCAGAGACTATGTTCTTGTATTCTTAATAGCAGCATCAAGATACCTAAACCTTGATGTGTTTTGTCTTATTCAGCTTTTTACAAGCTCGTTACGCTGCAAAGCTAGGTTTTCTTTGCAGAAGCGGCAGCTACCTGTAGATAAACTCTAGTCCTGATAGAGGGTGAAAACACGAAGCAGAGGGATTATTATTCTCAGGCATGCAGAGACTATGTTCTTGTATTCTTAATAGCAGCATCAAGATACCTAAACCTTGATGTGTTTTGTCTTATTCAGCTTTTTACAAGCTCCGTGCAGATGAATCCCACAGATCATATCACTAATACCAAAGTAAGTCTTGAATGCATTGCTTGATGTACGCAGTAGTGAGATGCAAACTCTATTCATCCTTTACTGTTTTCCTTACTAGTGTAACAGCACTTTTCTCATGTTCTGGCTTTCCAGACTTCCATGAGAATAGGAAGGCTGCAGCTCAATTCATCCTGTTTGTTAGGTTTTAAACAGACTAGGGAAAACCACGCTGATTTATGTAATAACCTTCAAATCTCATATGACCTTGAGACCAAAACCTGTACGTTGTACCAGTCTCTTGACTTTTGTATCCTTTTAAGATGTTAGTATGTGCAGACATGGTATGTGCTTTGTGAGAATGGCTTCATCTGTATTGTCTGGTGGGAAAAGAAACACAAGAATGAGCAGCAGAGCAAAGACCCAGCTCATTGGATTTGTCCTGTTCATTCACGAGCATTGGTTTTGGTTCTTGCTTGAGTGAGCCTGCATTTCATTTCACATTTTCTCAGCCAAGGGCTACCAGTATGGGCAACTGGTACCACTGCACCCCTTTGCAAATAAAAATTTAGGTTTTTTAATAATTGGTCAGGTGTGTTCCAGTGGCACTGGAAAAGTCTTTCTTTAAGCCTGCGTTTTAAGATTTTGCTTTCATTTCCAGATGGAGACAAAGGGAATAGAAACTACCAAGAATAATGCTGGTCCAGTGGCTTCGCAGGAAACACAAGTTTCTAAGGCCAAATCAGGTTGGTTGTGGTGTTTTACTGAAACGGTTTAACAGTTGAGCAAGCATTGCTCTAAAAACCATCTCAGTTATTGGCTCCTTGTCTGGTTTTGTCTCCTGTTGGTAGGCAAATCGCCAGAAGAAAATACTTCGTATATTTGCTTTTTAGGTTTCTGGCACTGCACCAGGTGCAGAGAAACTGATGTTTGTGCAGGAGAATCTGAGCAGATAACGTTATCTATGCGTGGATGTAAAAGTTCTTCCACCACTCATTTAAAACAAACCCCTCAAATGTTTTTTTTTTTTCATTAATTACTCTTCAAATAAATTCTGTGGGTCAGATTTTGGGTTTTTTCCTTCTGCCCATAGAAAGGCACATGAACTGATGATGTTTTGGGACCTTTTTCCCCTCAGAGAAGCAGCTCATACAGTACACGGCCTTCCCGCTCCTCGCGTTCCTCGATGGGAACCCAGGCTCCGCAGTCGAGAGTGGGAGCTCCGCAGCCCAGCCTCCTTCCTCTGCTGACCAACCCCTGGAAGTGGACGAGCTCCTGGAGAGCAGCCTGGATCCCGAGCCCACCCAGAGGGGAGCCGCTGGCGGAGGCGGAAGCGAGCGAAGCCACGCTCTTCTATCTATGCGAACTGGCCCCAGCCCCCATGGACACAGACATGCCCTTCTTGGATAACTGAGGGGTGGGACTCTGTATATAGTCACGAAGATGAACTATTTATTTAGAATATTGTTTGGTATATGAGTTTTTTGTAAATCACTGTTTTATGTAACCAGGTAACGTGGAATCTAAAATACCTTCCCTATGTTACTTCCCACGAGCCATTGTTTAACCATGTGGTTAGACAGGCGGCGAGACACGGTTGGTGGTACCAAGTCAGACTGTTACTGTACTGCTGTCACTTACTTGGTATCATACGCACCCCTAAATAGCCCAGGTAACTGAACGCTTGTTAAGAGTAAGCTTTGATTTACGAGTTCTTATACTTCTGGTCTTACATATGATGGTGTAAACGAGTAGTGTGTGGTTAGGGAGCACTGACTTTCTGTATCTTGGGTTTTTTCAATTTTTTACAATGTTTTGTTTAACAAACACCAGGCTTTTTTTGGGGTGGGAGGGGACCAGGACCTGATGTAGGCTTTCTTTTTCCCTGCTTGAACTGGGAACAAAGTGCCTGTACCTTGCTCAATCTTGGTTCTGCCTTACTTTCACTTCAGCGGAAGCGCTCACACACAGCACAAACTGGGGAAAAGTTCTTCAGCAGCCGCCGGGCCCCTCGACTGCATGAGTACTTTTAACTTGGACCATCTACGCTGATAAAATAAATGTTACTTAAGTGTGGTACCCGGCTAGAGTGCTCTCTTAATTCCAAGTGCCAAGTGGATGTGGATTTAACAGGCTCTGCTTCTCATGCCTGAGTAGCTGTGCAGCAGGGTCTGCTTCTCCAAAGGGCAGGGTTCATCTGCAAGCCGCCAAAGCTGCCACTTCCTTTAGTGCTACACAAAAGAATGTGCTCCCCTTTGCTTTCTTACTGACAACTTCTGCTGGCACCACTCCACCCCTGCTAGCAGGGTGCATTTCCAGGGCTGCTTTTACCAGATACCTCCATCTTCAGTGTCGCTGCACCGCACAGGGGAATGCCAGGGGGGGGTCGCTCACTGCAACAGTTCCAACTAAATCACCTCACCCCGAGCTGCTGATTGAGTATGAAGGGGAAGGCAAACCCTAACAGAAGACAGTTTTCTTCCCTGTGCCCTCAAAGCTGCAGCTGGATGGGGAGTTCTGGGAAGCTCCCGTGCATAAGGTGTGCCAGGGAAGGGAGGAACACACGCAACAGGAAAAACACCTCCATGAGTCCGGCACTGCACTCCATTTCCTTTTCTGTTTTCTAAAGGGCAAGTCTGGCCCACTGTAGAAGGAGCTGAGTCTACCATAAACACAGGCGCCCATTGCCCATCTTCCCCAGGCAGCGACAGGCAGTTGTTACAGGACTCGGGAACAGCTGTATTAAAACTGGCCCTCGGGTGTTTTACCCAAACTGAAACACAGGTGCAGCAGCAGCAGCTCCTGGTTTCAGAGGGATGGATGCAGAGGGCACAGAACTGTCAGAAAACTGCAGGCAGGGGGTTACGCACACTCCCCCAGGAGCCCAGAACCTCACAGGTGCCGCCTTGCTGCACTGCCCACAGTTGTTTCTCAGGTGACAGAGTGCTATAAAACATCCCAGGAGCAGAAGCAGCAAATACGAGGTTAACACCCTACATCACCCACGTTTGGCAGGAGCAGGAGACATCAAGTCAGACATCTTCATCCAAATTTATTTATTAATAAGGTAATGAGATATTCCAAATTATTACAAGCCTTTACTAACCCTTCCATTACCATCTCGAGTTTGGCTGACGTGTCAGACTTCCGCAGTTAAGTGTCAGTGGTTAGGTGCAAGAATTAAAATAAAAGCCTAGAGAATAATTAGCAACAGGAAGTACCAGGATAAACACCACGGCAGCAGATCAGCGAGACGCCTGCTGACCCCCCTTCAGGCTGCCCTACTCTCAAGCTGCAGCGAGTAACAGAGAAGTAGCGCAGCTCACGTACTTCAATTACAAAGCAGCAAGCACAAAAGCGTTTAAGATTTCCTAACTGCACAGGAACTATACAGTATTTTAATCAGAGTAATGTCTTACCTCATGCCTAGACTGAGACTTTCTAGGCTGAAGTCCATCTCCGGCCAATGGACAGCAAGCAAAATACCTAATACATTATAAAGATTCCAAAATTAAGAGCTCCAAATATATAAAGAAACACTTTTGTTGAAGCCTCGGTTAACGCAAGCCTCCTTTAGTTAGTTACTGCAATTTCAGTGCTCCTTTTCCTCCATTTCTTTTTTAAGCACAATACTCAAAAAATTCCTCTAAAAGGGCTCAGACGGTTTTCACCACTCGGCTTCTTTGCCAACTCCGTGATTGTAGCTTAGCCGAGAAGGAAAGTGGCACACGCAACAGCAATAAGTTACAGCACAGCTATCCCATTTAAACTACTTTAAAAAATAATAATAATAATAATAATACATAGATGCACATTGTGAACAGGTGCCTTAAAAACATGCTCCTGAGCATCCGACACCAGGATGTTTTTCCCCCGGGTGTCTGTCCATCCTGTCAGCAGCGCGGAGGACACCAGCTCCTCCGCAGCTTTGGGTGCAAGTTCCCCCAGTTAATGCCCGTGCTATAGGTACTGCTGCCCTCCGTGCGGGAAGAGGTCAGGCTGCTGGTGCCAAAACGCTGCAAGATGTGCGGCAAACTCCAACGCGCACAATTTTGAGTGGAAGAGCGCTTACTCAGGACTTACTTTGGAATCAAGGCAACAGGGATCATGAAAGGCAGCCCCTCCTTTGCTTGCAAAGCCTGATCTAATACTGGTTTCTTACCCTAATTAACACCTGCTCCTTTTCTCCTACAACTATTTAATGCAATTGAGGGGAAAAAAACCCAACTATTTCCAAAAAGGTCTTGATCTTAGATCTACCGCTCCCAGAGCACTCAATCCAGGAGCAATCCTATGGAAACCATCATTAGAGCAATTGTCACTGAGCTCAGCTAGAAAAAGTCATTTAGTGACACGACAAGAGACATGATTCAAGGTAATCATGCAGAATAAAGCAGGGTGTACTACACAGACAGCACACGCACGCGTGCACACACACACACACGTATTTACAACTGCACTACTATCTGGAATACTGTTTGTTTCAAAGACGCGGTGAAGCGAGCGCGATCTCCTTGGAGAGCGGCACAGCTTAGTCAAAGTCACGGTTTGTAAGAACCAGTGGCGCAACCAGAGTCCAGACGTACAGCACGATGCCAATCCAGCTGGAAGAGATCTTCACCCAGACAGATGGCCATTTGCTGGTCATGGTCTCGTAAGAAGAATCCGGACTGTGAAAGGAGGAAAAGAAAAAAAGATCTTTTGCAACTTTTGTTTACAACAGGACGGACGTACTTGTGTAGTAGCCACTCTTCAACGCTGTTTTTACAGTCGGTCATTTTCACTTCAGGTCCACACCTCAAACGACATCTCTACCCCTCTTCTTCCTGGCAGTTCAAACCCATCTGTACAAGGACACCACTTGTGAGTTGGTGTCAGAGGAAGGTGGAAAGCAATGGCAGCCCAAAAAATACTTAGTAAGAGAAGCTGCCAAGAAGCAGAAATAATTACAAGGAATCTCGGAGCAAACCTGTGGAAAGGCAGGACGGGGATAGCATTTATAGATACAAATAACGCATTTTACCTTGCCAAAAGACAACACCTAGAGGAATTAGTAATCTTGATGTCATATTGACCCAAGCAGGGCCACAAATCAAATCCACATCAGGGCTATCTATTAAGAGTTACAGTTGAAGGAAGCACCTTTCTAGTGTTGCTATTTTAATACAAATTGTCCTTTAACAAGTTAGAGACCATCATTTGCGCTTTTAAATTCTGAAGAACATTTGCTCAAGCTGTTAATAACAATTCACACACAGGACTATTTTACTGTGAGGATTTTTTGGGGGAGCAGACAACCTAATTTCCTTCCACCAGACCTATCACAGAATGGCTGAGATTGGAAGGGACCTCTGGAGGTCATCTGGTCCAATGCCCTTGCTCAAGTGGGGCCACCCAAAGCCAGCTAAGCAGGACTACACCCAGACGGCTTCTGAGCATCTCCCAAGGATGGAGACTCCACAACCTCCCAGGGTAACCTGTGCCAGTGCTCGGTCACCCTTACAATGAAAGGGTGTTGCCTGGTGTTCAGAGGGAACCTCCTGTGTTTTAGTTTGTGCCCACTGCCTCTGGTCCTGTCACTGGGCACCACTAAAAAGAGCCTGGGTCCATCCTCTTTGCACCCTCCCTTCAGGTATTTGTGCACACTGATTTGTGCACTGATGTGCACAGTTTCCCCTGAACCTTCTCTTCTCCAAGCTGACCAGTCCCAGCTCTCTCAGCCTCTCCTCTCCTCTAAGAGCTGCTGCAGTCCTTTGCTGGACTCTCTCCAGAATGTCCATGCCTCTCACACTGGGGAGCCCAGGACTGGACCCAACATTCCAGGTGTGATGTCACCAGTGCTGAGCAGATGGGAAGGATCACTTCTCCCTCAACCTGCGGATATAACATGTCCCATCTCTCATCTGTACCAGACATGGGCCTGCTGTTTACTTATTCTTAGTTGTTATAGAATTTAAGACTCTATCCTGTTCACTTCAGCAGTCCCGTGAATCATGAGAGTTATCCTAGAAAATATGACAGGTGCTTGTGAACAAGGTTGGCTACTCCAATTTTCAAATACAATTCATTTAATATAGATCAAACACTATACCTCCCTTGAGAAGTCCCATTCAAGACCTACGCTCCTCACAGCACACAACTTATGCCTCCTTGTCCAGCAAAAGACACCATCTTGTATGCTCATTATTAGCACAATATATTCTCAAACACAAATACCTGTACCAGTTGGTAAGTGTCATCATGATATACAGTGAGGCCAGGAAAAGCATGAAATGAAAGAAGGAGTAACTGTAAGTAACTCCATCCCTCTCGTTATCTATGGCTCGGTGAACATCATCTCCATCATCAAGGGAGCCATCACTCCTGGGCATTCCATCCTCTATCAGTGTTGATTCATCACTGGTCAGCATCAGCTTGTTAACTTGGCTGTTGTTGGATGTCCGGATGCTGTATTTGATGGGAAAGGACACAGTACAGTTACCCAAGTGAATACAATTTAGTATCTGATGATTAGAAGTAATAAAATTTAATAGTTCTTGGGTTTTTTGGGGTGTTTGGTTTTTTTAAAAGGAATCTTACCTTGAATAGAGAACACACAGCAAAAACAAAACGAGTCCTACGATTCCTTGTGCATCCCACCACTGAACTACCTGACCTTGGGTTGGAATGGTGGTGCTGTTGTAACCGATGATGCTCAGCAAGCTTGGGTTACAGCGCCTATCTGTGGGGGAAATTACATTAGAACTTGCATAAAACAAGAACAGAACAAAGACTGAACAGCACATTTCCACAATGAATGCATGGTAATAGAAACTGTGACAGTCTTGAAGTAATAAAGCTTTGATCTAATTTTAGCTTACTGAGTCTCTCTAAAGCAGGTAAATGACAGTATGTGGCATAAAAATCTGTCTATTTGAGCAGATAAAAGCATTTTAAACTTATATAAGATATGCATCAACTGCTTTACTGTTCCATCTCATATAGTCAGATACAACAAAATAAAAATGCCCTGCATATTAAGCTGTAGAAATTCTACTGCTAGAAAACAAGTTTGGCAAACATATACTCTACAGACGGTGTACCAGAGTCATCCCAGAGTTGGAAAAGAACACTACAAAGTCAGTTCGTATTACCAACAGTCCCAACCTACAGCATCCACAGATAAACACAGACGAAACAGCTGAAAGTAGCAGACAATCTTATTTCCCTGTAATTACCACAGGAATTAGATATGACTCGTATGTACGCTGTCACACAGAAGCACAGAAGACTGTCCATAATTAAGATAAAAGGGCCATAGACCCAACTAAAAACACCAAAATCAGTATCTGGCAGTTTATTTTAATCACCAGAATCTATTTAATTTTTTTTTTTTAATAGATGCTCAGCTGTATTCAGACACAAGAAACATTAAAAAATGTATTAATAAATGTTTTCAAAATCCTCGGTTCAGAAAAAAAATATAATCAGTAGCATCTCAGTCACCAGGTAAGAAACTTGAAACTTGGTAGGAAGATGAATCTTCCAGACACCTTGGAAGAGCTGCGGTGATCTGCAAAACCTAAGCTTTAGGATACTGCAATCCTGCCAGTAATAGGTAGAAATTCCTCCATATGATAAACTTCAGAGCAAGTGAAAGACACGATATCTTTGGAAGAATTGTTTCTTTGGTATTAATACAGAAAATTGGTGTGGGGGGAAAGAACACTAATGAGTCCTACCTCTAACCTGCATGCATTATAGTACCCCATTCTAAAATTACCTTGCAAACAGGCGAAAATACGGTTTACTGCTAAACTGGTTATCCGAAAAGCCATATATTGGCTACCACACTTACCTGGTTCGTTGGTCATAGCTGACCAAGTCAAGTACATCGTATAAATGGTGATCACAGAAGACTGCAGCAAACCAGATCTTGGCTGAGATTCCTATACAAAATAGTCATGAAACAGCAAAGTTAGGCAATTAAAAGCCTTGGGCACAATTATATCAGTTTTCTGGGACTGATAACACAAAACCCAAAATTAAAACTATACCTGAATCTTTGGCAGAATTGACATTACAGAAGCACCAATACACAGCAGCATATTAACACTGATGAATGTCTTGTTTTCAGAACAACCTTCTGGATGAGTGTAATAAACATAAAACAAGACAATAGCTACTAGAGACAGCAGATAGTTGACAGCTGTAGCTGACAGCAGAGCTGTGAAGAGACAGAAACAGAGTTAAACTGGTTAATAATGGAGAGTATTAAAACAATATTGCATGGTTATCAGGTTTTGGATATGGTCTACAATGACAACTAGAGAGCAGCTCTGGGCACTGAAATGTAAAGGAAGTAAGTTTTTTCCCCACCTCAGAGTACTGAGAAAAAGAAAGAACACAATAAATGGGAAGCCTGAAACCATACTTGCTTCTCCAGTGCTTTAACAATCCAGAGCAGCAAGTATGAAGAAATACAGTTATGCTACATATACTTTGGCTAAAAGCTTAAAAAAGAAACTGAATAACTACTTCCCCAATAGAAGGAAAAACAATTCCATCTTGTTAAAAACACTGAAGAGTGAAGTGGCCATTGCACAAAGACAGGCTGTGCTATGTTTTGAAACACCTAAATTATCACATCTGAAACGCTTCATTAAAATTAACACATAGTTTCTTCAATGAGAGGAATTGTACCCTCCTTCACTATCTTGGACTTCCAGTCAATGTCCTGGTTTCGGCTGGGATAGAGTTAATTTTCTTCCTAGTAGCTTCCATAGTGCTCTGTTTTGGATGTAATATGAGAAGAATGTTGATAACACACTGATGTTTTAATTGTTGCTAAGTAGTGCTTTTACTAGGTCAAAGACTTTCCAGCTTTCTGCTCTGCCAGGGCCACAGGAAGCTGGGAGGGGGCACAGCCAGGACAGCTGACCCCAACTGGCCAAAAGGGATATTCCATACCATATGACATCACGCTCGGGGGGGGGCAGAGTTTGACAGGGGAGAGCGATCACTGCTTGGGGACAGGTTGGGCATAGGTCAGCAGGTGGTGAACAACCACATTGCACATCACTTGTTTTGTATATTCTGTATATTCTCTTACCATTTTTTTCCCCTCTGCTGTTTTATTACACTACCTTTATCTCAACCCACAGGTTTCAATTTTTCTGATTCTCTCCCCCATTCCACTGGCGGGGAGGGGGGGAAGTGAGTGAGGGAGCGGGCAGCTGTGTGGTGTTCAGTTGCCTGAATGTCATTAAACCACGACAGCATATATCTTCAGAGAATGACCAACCAGCAGACAGAAACAAAAAAAACAATTAGAGACATTTACAATAGTCTGGTTTGTTTTTAATCAGCACTAAGGTGCAACCTGTGGCTGGAAAAAAAAAAACAGAACACCTGCAATTGGCACATCTCTGCTATCATAAACTTATGCCCTGCTCCCAGGGATTAGATCTCATTACTCATAGGCTGCTTAACTTGACATCAAAAGGCCTGCAAGACAACAGAGCTGAACTACACCATCTGAGAAAATTATACTTATGCACGAAGCAGCCCTTCTGCACTCTGGTAAAATGCACTAGTCTGTGAATAACTTATTTAACACAATGCACAATGAAATTTAAAACTTGATTGTAGTACAGTCCTTTACCTGCATACCAGCATCTTGAGTTTCCTTCCTCCATTTTTTCAACCCAAGATTCATTCCAGGAGTGGGCAAAGTCAATAAGCAAGACCAGCTGAATAAGAATAAAGCAGAATGCTCCAGCCATACCTACATAAAACCACACTAAAAGAGAAATAAAAAAAAACAGTTCAGAACCATAGATAATTTACTACTCTGTCTTAATGTCCCTAAACATAGAAAGGGCTACAAAGGGTTACACAGCTACAATCAAAACTAAGACATCAGCATGCACTTAGTTTTGTTTTAAAACCAGTTATGATTGCACCATGATACAGTGGAAGACAATATTCCCTTACCTGTTGTAAATGGTCCTTCTGGTATGAAGAAAGCTCCAACACTAATTGCAAGTGCTGTTGCAAATTTAAAGAACCAGAATCTAAAGGAAAACAATACAAAAAAGTCAGGCAACTGCTTAAGTCTGATCTAATTCACAAAAATGTGAAAGTACACAAGATGCACATCTTAAGAGTTGTGTTTTAATTCACACATTCTTAACTCACTTCTTTTGAAGTAGAATAAAAATCTTATTTTATCTGCTTAAGATTTTCATTCTCCAGAAAATTATGCTTAAACTGTGCTAGACTAACACAGAGTTTGACATGTTTCCCAGAGCTATTGCACTCATGTATTACAAATTAAGCCAGGGTAGAATATAATTGCATGTTGTCTGGGTTGTTTTTTGTTGGTTTTTTTTTGTTTTGTTTTAAGAACATTGTTAACTATAGCACTGAGATTATTCAACTGCCTGCATATCAGAAAAATGGGTTAAAAAAAATCCCTACCTGTTTTTAATATCAAAACCAGAAAGGTAGAGGATCTGGTTGGTGCCTACAATGACAGAAAACATTACGCTCAAGTTCCCTACCAGCCCCAATTCATTTCCTACAAGGGAGAAATGTACAAAAGCCTGGATTCTTCCCACCTAATTTTAGACTCTTTAGGCCTACATCTGATGAGGATTTACCACAACAGCAACAAAGGACTTATCCTTCACAGAAAGGACACAATCAAATTCTAAGTCCCTATTCCAGTGCTGCTGCATTGGATTTCCCCCTCTCCCCCCAGTAAAAGATATGCACTCACGGACAAAGAAAACCGATCAGATCTTTCCTAGAAAGCAGACAAGGAAATATCTTCCACCAAAGACTCAAACTCACCCCAAATGCAGACTGTGTACAAATATACCCTGCATAGGGAACTTCAAATCAAGAAGTTACACCAACAAAACTGTAAAAGGTAAAGGCTATTTTTTCTGATCACAGTGACAGGCAGCTCCAAATATAGGCATGGTACCTTCTACACATACTTCAAAACTGAATATAGAACAAAGACATGCACCACACCCCGGCAATGTCAAACACTTGCACAGTTTTCAAGTTTTCTATCAGTTCCCATTTTTTCCCCATACACTGAACAAGTTTAATCACTCCTTCTGGATGTTACAATGAGGTGATGGTGACCAGAGGAATAAACTATGTGAGATGACAAAAGTGCAGAATATGGGAAAAATGGACTAACGCACTGGGATACAGAGAAGTGACTAAACCCAGTGCGAAAGCTGAATGAACTTGTAATATGGTGTAATACATACCCCACTAAAACTAGTTTTTGAATCCACATGTGAGATTTATTTTTTTTTTTAAGTCAATGTCATTCTCAATTATAGAAATAAGAACTGGTTCAAGTTTGTAAAAGTTTCATCCCTAATTCCAGACTTCTTTAAGAGATCTTAACACTCTATCCATATAATGTGTGTGAGAGCCGAAAACAGTCCTTTAAAGTAACACCTACAGTTGCTGTGCATTCTGTGCAAGCCAGCAACAATCCTGTGAATACATTAGAACTGATTTTTTTTCTATTAGTACTATTAACCTGAAGCAAGAAACCATTCTGACTCTGCTGTTACAAAAGCAAAGAAGGTGAACACTGGCACCGGACCACTGGGCTTAACTCGCTTGCAAGTGTGAAAAAGTTAGTACACATATACAGGAAAACCCAGTGTCCTGAATATTGCAAATCACTGACAGAAAGATTACACTGCAGACTATTACTGAAGCTACATACAATTTCAAGAACTGAAAGCCATGGTTTTCATAAAGCTCCCTGTAATGCATACTATTGAAGCAAGCAGTTATTACAGAAGTGTTGGAAGTAACATTATTAAATATTTTAGCAGTTACAGTTAATGAGTATCATTTTTCCTTTTATCCTAGTGCTGACACTAGATTGGCAAAGAAGAGTAAACTGCTATGGATTGCATAAATAGTATCAAAATTTGTATTCCAGATAAGGGTATCATGAAGATCCCAAACACTTTGAGAAGCGGTTTTAGGTAAAAAGATTCCACATCATGTAAAAGGTGTCTTTTATTGTAAAAAAAACTCTGTTTACATGGAATGTACCTGAACCATTTTCTTCTTGCTTGTAACAAGTATGCTCTCCTGAATAAAGCAGGGCGGAGGGAAAGGCTGAACTGAGTTACTGCTGCTAATGCATCTTAATTCTGTACCCGGCCTCTTTTTCTTTAGACCAAAACAAAAGTAAACAAAGCAATATTCTGCTCAGTCTTAATTATTTTCTTTTCTCCTACAGAAATAATTTGAAGTTTTTTCTCATTTTGTGCTAGAAACGTTTAATCTTATTATACTGAATATAAAATAAAATGGCTTCTTCATTTTTATGGCTTAGCTGTTCATAGCTTCCTTTAAAAATAATTATCTTGAAAAAGCAGGAAGTCTAAGCAATCACTGTGACCACCAAGACTAGGAACCATAAATGGCTTTATGCTTTTTAGTGCCATGCTTTGTTACAAATGTTTATATGTCCTTGGTTCAAGAAGCTACATTACACCTAGGCTGAGCCTGGCTGAAAACTACCACTTGTGTCAACCCTCAAGCTGAAATTCCACTACTATCTTCCTTCTGATAATCTTAACTATAATGAATGCAAAAGAAAAGTTTACTGGGAAGCTCAGAAACTAAATATATAACTCACTTTACTAGATACACAACCCTTCTTTATGCAGAGAGAACACTGAAGAAAAGATAGCAGAGGGGGAAGAGATGTTAGATATCTCTATATATAGATATAAAACTGTTATAGTCTTTAAAATAAAACCAGTCAGAAAAGAGCAAGCCCTTACAAACATCAAAGTCAAGAGGAATGTAATTCCTAGAGGACAGATGAGGCTTTTGCATCTTTCTATTTGTTGAAAAAAAGTCTCAGCAGAATGAAACTTAGTACCATTATTCATCTCCGAATTTTGTCATCTTTGGACAAAAGCAGAATCTCTAATCTTGGGAAACCTCTGGACAGATTATCCATTGTTATAGTTCAGGCTCTGAAAAGTGACAGCCATGTGTACCTTCTCCTCTTACAAAAATTAATCTGTCACATCTAAGAGTTCTAACAACTTTGAATGCCCTCTACTGCAACAACACTCCTCTAGCTACCATGAAATTCTTTGTGGAACAGTACATTTGACCAGCATGCTCAGCCACAGGGTTTATTTTCACAGCAGCTGTCTCTCATACGCACACACCGCCCATCTCCGTTCTCATTTCTGTGTCTTACCCATTGTGCACCGCTGCTCTTGGGTCATTGCTGCTCTTCACTTTGATCATCAATAAGGAGAAGAGAAGGAAGAACATGGCCATACCAAAGCACACCCGGTACACAGCTTTATAACCAACTAGTACATCGCAATTCACATGGCCGTGCACACCAGGAATAGTGGTTCCCATCCCTCCATCACAAAATCCAGGAATCTGTGATAAATACAAGATACTTCAGTGACCTGTAAATGGCCTCCCGTGAGTAAATACATATTAGCAATTTCTTAATATACAACTCATTAGTATTGTAACATTATGCAACTATTAGCATTGCTTGAAAATATGATACTGACGGGCTTGTTACAGTCCAACCAGAATATTAAACAAACACATTCAAGGAAAAAAAAAAAAACACAGAGGCAAATTCTAAACAAACTCAAAAATAAATCTTATTAACAGTAGGGTTTTTTTGTTATTAGCAATTTCAGAACTTCTTAAAGAAATGCAGTTTTCACTTGTTGATCTGAATCAGGAGACAAATAAAAGATCTGGGATTTGGTAAATTTGACTTGACAGTTACAATCAGGCTCGTGACAAGGCTAGGAGAAGGCAGCCTGCTTACATCTCTTTAAAACAGAAATAGCCTCCCCTCAAAAACTAACATTACTATCAATTAGAAGTATCTGTAACTTCCATATGAAACAGCTGAAAATATCCTTTCCGGTCACCACCAGGACATGAGAAACATCTTTTTGAAGTAAAATCATATTCCAGAAGGCAATAATTGTCTTTCATAGAATCATAGAATCACTTTGGTTGGAAAAGACCTGTGAGATCATCGAGTCCAACCTTTAACCTAACCCTGCCATCTCACCCCTAAACCCTGGCCCTAAGCACCTCATCTATCCTTCTTTTAAATACCTCCAGGGAGGAGGACTCTACCACCTCCCCGGGCAGCCCATTCCAGAGCCTGACAACCCTTTCCTAGGTGACAAACATGGCTCTCACTGAAGCTCTAATGTGGTTACTATACTACACTGAAATTAACATTTACAGATGAATCGTTGGGGGGGAAGAAAATCAAAAGCGTGCCTAACAGAAGTTACTGTCTACTACAAAAAAATGAAAGACAGCAAACAAAGATGAACAGAACTAAAGCACATGTAGCCCGAGTTCAGTGAACCTATGAGCTCTCCCATAACTCAAATTATCACTCTGTAATTTTACATGCAATATTGTATCTTCATATTAAACCAATAAACTGTAAAATCCTATAAGCACTTCCTAATGTCCTTAGCGAAAAATAATGCTACTATCATTAGTGAAAAAGATTTGTTATGCATTTGCAGACTTTAAAGTAGAATTTTAACCAGTATAGCACAATGAAACTAGATGACAGATTGATATTTTTTTCCTTTTACAGCAATCAAAAAAGTCAATCAAGCGTCACAAATACAAGCATCTCAGAATTGTTTAAAACTCCACATATATAAGTTACATCAAACAAGAACATGTAATATTCTATTTTTTTCTGGTCTGAGCTATTAAAGAAGAGGTACAACTTTATTTCTAAATAGTGCTTTCATCTATGCAGTGATTGTCCCAAGAGTTCTTTATTTATTTGATCTACAATCAAATTAATGGTGACAGTGAAGCACAGGTGGCACCACAATTACATTTTTCCAAATAAAACCCATGCTTTCAAGATGTCATTGACAATTATCTGTGACTTTTGTTCTACCAAACGTGTTAGCAAAGAAGTAACCCGACCTTCTTCAGTTGCTCTTCCATGCCTGGTATTAACATCACACAGGCAACACTCACACCAAGGAGTAAAAAGAATGCATAAATCAGCCGAGTTATGGTAGAGTTGTTTCCACTGGGGCAGCACCGGCAGAGCAGGCACGGGGCACTTCCACATAAGCATGGTATCTGACAGAGAGACAAAACATAAAACCAAATTCTTTAAAAAGTTTTGCATTGCTAGATTTCAATAGTTAAACAGGCTGTGTAGATCATCAGAAGTTATGATGGAAAACGACTCATCCTACCCATCTCGTCACTGCTGTAGACTAAGTTGCTGCGACACATTGCAGAGCCCCCCAACAGTCTTGGCAGCGCTTCCTAATGCACCACTGTGCAGTGAAATTAGTGCTATGTCAAAAGCAATCATTTATCCATTCAGAAGAAATAAAGACTGGATTCAGGCTCATTTGTTCTCCTGAATTTCATTTCAGCTAAATGAGATGCAAGGATTGCTTTTAGTTAACAACTACATCCTTCCTTCCACAGCTGCAGGGATTAAACAAATACACCGCAGAAAAAAATTTGAGCACAACTGCCATCTAGGTGCACTTTCAGCATCTAACAGAGTTGGGCCACAATCCCCACCGGGGCCATAAACATTACTGGAGCACAAACAATAGGTAAAATAGCCTAAAGCCTAGGTTGCAAATTATTGCATATTTAGCAGCTCCTCACCTATCACATAATCCTGTTAGCTGGCAAAACTAACTTACGCAATGCAAGAGTTACAAACCTCAAGAACAAAGCAAATAGACAGTACACGTATTATCATTGCTACCAAGTAGCAACAGCAGAAGTGGATAGGAATGCTCTATGGCTGTAATACTACAAGGGAAAAAAATAGGACAAAGTTTACCTGTATTTAATTCTTAAACAGAAGCTTGTGGGACGAAGTAAAGGGAGCAGATAGTGCTGTTTCACTGCGGTGGGGGGGAGTGGGAAACATACTTCACCCCTTCGCAATTTTCTGCCACTTGCCAAGTGACAACTGAGGAAGTGAAAGAAGGGCAAGGTTCCACAGGTAATACAAGACAAGTGATGTTTTGGTTTTTTGGGGAGGTTTTGTAAATAAAAAAAAAAAACACCCACACACAACCACCAACAACAACCAAATTACTTTGCCTAGAAGACATGGGAAATACCAGTGAGCAGTAAACAGCTAAGTTTTGAAGGCCACGTATTTTTCAGCTCAGGTAAAGTTACCAAGTGAGTGCTGCCCTACCTGAGCTACAACAGATGATGCAACCTCTGACAAAGATACTGAACAGCAGCAAAACCCAGCTTCTGCCCCAGCACACACACAGGGGCACCTCTGCCATGTGGCAGAAGCCACAGGTGGTAATGACAGCACGAGAGACACAGAATCAGTCACATAAGAACATGACTAGTTACACGGCCACGTGACCAGTGAGTGTCAAATCATCCAGTATGATTGGCACGTGGAAGTTTAGTCTTATTACAAACAAAGATGCCAGAAGTCTGTCACTACCAGGAAGGCCCCAGGGCTTGTAGGGAAGAGCAGAGCAGACAGACGGCCATAACGCTCCCAAGCAGCCCTCAGGAAAAGGCTCAGATTATCTGTTCTTAAAGATTCAACCAGACCCACACACTGGACCCATAAACCAGGTCTTTTAAATAACTTCCTTGTATTCTTTTTATACACTTGTGTTCCCTTCGAAGATGGAGGAGCCAAGAATTTTCACTCCGCTATACTACAAAATCATTTTTAGATTAGCAAACTTCACCATTAAATTTGTCTTGGTAAAGAAGTGAAACTACGTAGATTCTCCTTGTGACTATTTCAGTATGTAAAAGATATTATATTGCCCCTTTTTACCTCCTCCTCCACTCAGTATCATTACAGCACGAAGAGTATGAGGGTGTTGATTCCAGGAGAGGTTTCGTCTTGATACAAGAGACATTTTTTACAGTGAGACCAATCGATCACTGTGACAACCTCCCCAGGGACGTGGTAGAGTCTCCATCACTGGAGGTTTTCAAGAAGGAACTGGACAGGGTGCTAGATCACCTTCATCTCTGCTCCCTTCCATACAGAAGGCTGGACCTTCGAGGCTCTTCCATGACTGCAAGCCACTACATTAGGGGCATCTATGCTTAGTAAGCAGGATATGTATGGCAAGTATTGGCCTAGGATGCATCAGGATTTTATAGTGGTAATGTGCTACTCTATTTACTACACACACACACACAATAACCTTTCTAGTGAAGAATATTTCTATTCTCTGTTAAAAAAAAACCAAAACAGTCTTGAACCAATTCTGTCCGCATTAGTATTTTTAAAGATACTGTTGAATAAAAGGTTGAATTTGGCAGAGCAGAATATAAACCTAGGCTCACCTGCTGCACAAAATTTGGTGCAAGGACTGTCTGGCATAAAAAGTCACTTCTCTGGAGAATCCCAGTGTTAAATTGTTAAATAATTCAAGCAGCTTCCTCCTGAGCACGCCAAGGGGAACACAGGAATGCATGTTTCTGAAGATGGGAAGGTTTGCAGTGGCTGAAATAAGGATGACTTGCCTTGCCCTCACTGGGAAACAATGTGCCTCAAATGAGGCAACATACCTCATTGAAGCAGCTGAGGACCAACAGTGGCTTTTAAAACATTTTGCCTCCAAACAGCTCATCCTTACAAGCTGTGATCATGCACCTCTCTGAACAAGAGACCTATTGATAATTGATGCTATTTATACAAGTTAGCCACTTCTACAAGGAATCATATCACAGCCCAAGCCTCTCTTTCTTTTAGCAAGAGAGAATACAATATATACCATTCCAATAAAACAGTATCATTGTACTATTGGCAAAACCACTTCTATCAAGTAACAGACTTCAAAAAGAGCAGAGAGCAAAGAACATTTGGCCTATAGAATTATGTTTATCAGCAGAGGAGACAAGGACTGTTTGTGTCACTTTCTTCCTAAATTCAGAGTGTGCCTCCTACAAAAAAAAAAAAAACGCCCTACCATACAAACAGTAAGTTATTACTACACAGATCAAGCTCAATATTAACATCCCAGCTGAAACCCAGCTTAGCCAGAGACAGAGAGTTACTCTGCAATTAGTTTTGAGCTTGCTTTCTTAAGGAAGCTTGGACAACAGTTACAAAGTCACGACTGCATAGACCTACTGCCACCCAGTAACTTCTGAACCTACCAACTCGGATCCTTCCACGTTTTTGAGAAAAGTAAGTGGCTCAGCGGTGTTCACTGAGGCAAAATAAGAACAGATGACCCACACACCTATTCTGGGAGCAGCGAGCTGGGCAGACAAGTTAATTCATGCCTGCTAAACCAGTCACTTCATTCTCTAGGGCAGTGGAAACTGCAGGAGGAACACATAGCAAGATGAATATTGCAGGAGAGAGGAGGAGAGAGAAAATCCCACAGAAGTCAAGCGTTGCTGCCGCTGACACACACAGAACAAATTTTTAATATCAAACGTAATCTTCTTACTGGGGTAATGACTAAATGATTAAATACTGAATTACGTATTCACAAAAACAGTAAGTCCTCTGCTGGGCCTAGTCAGGTTTTAGCTACATCATCCCTACCCATATACTGAAAGGAACTGGTTCAATCAAGATCTTTGCCTTGATACAGAGTATTAAAGTGAGCAAAACAGCAGCTGAGCTATCTCAGAGAAGAATGCAATAGAGGCAAGACCCAGCAGAGTGAAAACGGTACTGCATAGCCAATCTAGGTCGCCAGGTGAGATGACAGTGCTCTTAAGGCCTTCCCCCCATCCCACCCCCCATCTCCGACAGGCTCATCTTTGCTCTTAAAAGCGCAAATCTGAAACACTGCCTGATCAGCTCACAAGTAGGGCAGAGCTACAATCAGCAGTAACGCCACACAAAAAACCCAGCAGAAATAAAGCTATGAGGCCAGATGCTGAGGTCAGCTACCCAGAGCAGCTGTGCATGCCACAATACACAGCCTTGCAGGGAAGCAACACAGCTGAAGCAACGCCGGCAGCAGCATTTTCCCAGACAAAGGAGTTTTCCTGGCCATAGCACAGTCTGCACTAGCACAAACTCTGCTGCATCCAGTTCCCCCACCACCTAACCCCAGAGTTTGTTTCTCATTCATAGTCACAAACTGTGTATACTGACATAGCCTCAGAGACTCATGCAGTCAGATTTCTCCCAGAAGAACTACCCTGTAGGCCTTAAGTGCTGATTAGCTGTGATTTTAGATGTGGAAAGAAAAAAATCAACATTTCAAAGCCATCAGGAGGGAAAAAAAAACCAACCTGATTTAAAAGTGCTTTAAAAGGAAGGGATGGGGGGGTTAGTTACCCACACTAAATCTGACTTAGTCAAAATTACATGCTCATGTAAACTTTTATCTAAAAGACCATTAGCTGAATTTCTCTATACAAAAACACTCAAAACCAAGAGCAAGTATACAGGGATTCCTCATGTGCTCCAAGCACCAGCCAGTAATCAGAAAGGCTGTTTGCACACTTGAAAATGCAGTATATATTAACTCAAGTATTTTAATTAAAACCTATAGTTATACTGCCGCTTAGTATTTGACAATAATTAAAAAAGTTAAAGTTAACTATATTCAGCTAGTAATTAAAGGCTAACTGGCTAATCCATTAAGTTGTGTTTAAAATATTAATAAAAGCAAAATGAACACTGATAGTACCTCATTAGCAGGATATTATCAGTGGCCTAGGCACTTATTTACAGGCACAGCAGCCTGGAAGCCTAGCTCATACATATGATCGTTTCATAGAATTTGTACAGGACATTAAGGAGTTAAGTATCATCTGTCTAATTAAATCGCTCTGCACTAGGAGAACCAAAGTTCATATACATTAATAGCACAAAAGACAGGCATTTGAATCAATACAAGGTTTTGTTAGACCATAAATTGTGTGTGTGGACTCCTGTTTAAATGTACATGATTTCGTTTAATCCAAGTACGGTACAATATTTTCAGCATGGAAAATTTAGGCTTTCACAACCCAACTGACATTTTTAACCCAAACATCTGAAAGAGTCACAATCCACCTGACCGCAACTATTTGCGTAGGGATTACATTTGGAAAGACCTATCACTTACACGGATAAGATGTATCACTTGTAAGGGTAAGG